GGAATTTGTTGGCGAAGAGCGCTAATAATGTTGACAATAATTTGAACAAGCAGGCAATTGATGAAAACGGTGAAAATGTGGAGGACGAAGAATCGATAAAACAATCAGACGCTAAAGATGAATCATGTAATTTGAAATAATTTAAATTTCTAAATTTTTAATTTTACTTATTTGTTAATTAAAAATTAATTTGTAATATAAAATACTATACGTCGATAGACTTAACGAATTATAAATTCATAATATCTTCGATTTATTGTTCCTATGTCCTGAGGGCACACCCGTGACTACTGCGGTATACATACGTCCATTTTTTGGAACACATAGTTTAATTATTTCTTGTACGATGGTTGATCAAAAACTATGTTAATAAAAATGTTGATATAAATGATCGATTTTTAATAAGTTAAACCAGTAAAAATAATTTTTATTTTTCGATTTCTTTTTCAAATTTTGCATCAACAATTTATAATTCGGATTATCAACCCATCTTCCTTCTTCTCCACTCAATGAACCTGCCAAATGATATACACTTTAGTTCCAGTATTTTACCCGAATTTAAATCGTTTTCATTTAATCCGTTAACGAAAACATCGATAAAGCCAAAGCGACCCTGCACCAGAACTTTTTGATTCGTCAATTACAAGACGTACTTCAGAACACTAATGATTTGTGGGAAGTAGCAATTCGATTGCAGTACCTCATTATACTCACTAAATTCTCTAAATACAAATGTTGAAATTACCTCCTATTAATCACCGAAAGAATCGGTACATTGCTATTTGAGAATAAAAAAAAAAAAAATTAGTAATCAAGTAAGAAATTGGTTGACTAAAAAAAACGACCAGGTGCACCATACGGTATTCAGTTAATTTAATACATTGCCAAATAAATTTCTTATAAATTTTTTATAAATGATGATCAGATATACTGTATACTACTTGGAAATAGTCAGTAAATATGCACCAATTCGGATAACTTTTAAGGGTACCTTCCCCTGCGTTGCCCCTACTTATGTGAGAATCGATCCTCGCGGGACAGACAAGGGGTAGCCTCACCAGAATCCCAATATTATTGATTGCTATCCTTACACAATGAGAACCGATCCTCATCCGCTAGGATAGATATCATATTGACCACATCGAAAAAGCCACCGCACAAGATGACCGATAATTCATCATAATAACAGGAGTAATATAGAAAAAATAAAATAAAATAAAATAAAATAAAATCTTAAACCAATATCTCACCTTTCGGTCTAATTTCGATACGAATTCTCTGACCTCTCCTAAAGTTTTAGAGTCATCTTTTATCTTTCGAATTACATCAAAAAAATATTGATCATAAACATCTTTTTTGGAACTCGGGTAATTATTCTGAATCCAATTTCCATAATGTTCAAGTGACCATTCGTTAAAAGAAAAGGTATAGAAATATATGGAGAACAGAAAATTCGAATTTTTTATGTCTCTAAGAACAGGAATAAGTTTTTCACTTGAAAATATTCCTATAAAGAAAGGTGTTAGACAAAAAGTTTTGCAACAAACTAACGGTACACCAAATGCATTTGCATACCAGTATTGATTTCGGTGATTAAATTTAGAAGCGTCACAGTAGGGCCCACCTTCAATCGACAGTCGATTAAATCTCTTCTACTCAATTGAAGAAAGTTCGAACCTGAAATTTTTTGTCTTCTCAAAAGCGAAAAAATCTTCTTCATCAAGATTTAATTCTTGATTCCTCAAGAATCCTATTAACCTTTCTATTTTCCATTTTTTAAAGATATCAGGTAAACTAGACATTTTAATGTTTAAGACAAAGGTAAACATGCAAATTACCTACTACTACAAGCGTGACGCCGAAGCCACTCCCTACTACTACTACAAGCGTGACGCCGAAGCCACCCCCTACTAGTATGGGGTGGCTTCGGCGTCACGCTTGTAGTAGTAGTATGGGGTGGCTTCGGCGTCACGCTTGTAGTAGTACCTTTTACGCAACTCGTGCATTTCTTCGTAAGGTTGTCATCAGTGGCTTGCATCATTATTACGTCACTGACTTTATATATGCTCACATTTCTCTAGCCCAAGTTGATCCGACTTTCAGTAAGAGTTCTGAACAAACTCAAGGAACGACTTGTCTATGATGAGTCAAGAGGAGGAAGAATTTCCGATTGGCCTCAAGTTACAGTTGGAAAATAAATGCAAAGAGAGAAAGAAGAGAAACGGTCAGAGGCCATAATCTAGATAATTTAGAGAAAACCGTCTCGCGCTCCCGTGGAAACACCTGTGGAACGTGACTCAGGAACAGAGGAGATATAGACAAGGCAAAAGACGTCAAGGAAGCGGATTCAGGAAGACTCTTCGTATCACGTAAGGAAGCACAAAAGGAGGAAATTAGAATATCTCTCCATCTGTGAAAAATGTAATTAAGGGCTGTCGACTCGAAGGGCTTTTGTCAAAGTTAGTCCACAGCATATGGTCTAGAAATTCGGAACCAAAGGGTAGATTTTTGAAACCACTAATTTTGACACCGAATTCACCAAAGTTTGCTCGAGGACAGCTGAGAAGAACGATCGGGAACTTGAATTCTACCAGAAGGGTATTCCACCAGCAGAAAGACCGCTACGGGGGACGCGGTACAAGATTTAGGGGTCGCGGATCACTTCATACACGTGGGGCAGAAAAGGATGCGATCTACCAACTACATTGGGAAGCGGAGCATATTAGGTGCACAGCATCAGCAAGATCGGCTAATTGATACAACACTTCGGAAAGTTAGATCAGAAGCGTATCGTCGAGCAGAGACAAATGATACCTCTATAGATATGGAATAGCAAGAAATAATAAAAATCAAGAATGAACGGAAAAGGAAGAAGCAGTAGGATGGCCGTCTGCGGCATTTCGAGAAAAATGACGTCAAATATCAAGAGACCAGTAGGTATTAAAGATAATAGAGAAAGTACTGGATTTAAACCTAGCTTATTATTCCCGACAAAATCAACGACAAATACATTTAGGACGAGAAGACGAAATATTAATAGAAAATTCGATAAAAGAGTTCAAGGAAAGTGTATAATAGTAAAAGTGCAAGACCCATCACATATGAAATTGAAATCAAAGCAGAAAGAGGGAAAGAAGAGAGCAGTACTGGACGCGAGAATACTGAACGATGCAATCCCGTAGACATTTCAAGATGTCGACAATGCGCAGTGTAAAATATTGCTTCCACAGAAAGAATGGATGACGAAATTATATACAGGATCTTACCCTCACGTTCTCCTAAGCAACAGGACGGCACGATGGCTGGGGTTCGAATGCGAAGGGAAAACGTGCAAGTTTGCAGCGATGACGTTTGCGCGCCGAGGGTATTTATGAAGATTATGACAGTAGCATTTACTCCTTTAAGAGCTCGGTCAGTGAGAAAGCACTTAAAGAATTGGGATTCCTCATGAATATGAAGAAATGTCGACTAACGCCGTCGCGGAAACAGGAATTTTTGGGGTTTCTACTGGATACGGAGTCAATGGAGATAAAGCTGCCTCATTAAAAGGTGAAAAAAGTCAAGAAGGAAATAAGATCAACTACGAAGAAAGAGATGATCACGGTAAGAAAACTTGCATCACCAATAGGCTTACTGAATGCGACAACAGAAGCGATTTCACAAGCCAGGCTCAAGTATCGGAGTCTGCTGCACAATTACACAAGGCACTGAAGTCGAAGTCGTGGGAGACGCTATTTCGGAACTGACTAAAATTGATCGTCCATGTTAAGCAAAGACAAGCGGTGGCTTTAGACCGAACTTGTTGGTTCATGGAAATCTTCCAGTTATCGCCGGAATTCTCCACGGCGTTTTTTTCTATAACCATAGTACAGTGATTAAAAATTTGGCTCTATTTTCGTTGAATATAACTTGAGCTGGAATAGTAATAGCAATGAGGGCGAGCCATTACCAAAACGTCTCTCCCGACGCTAGGTTCTGGAAATAATGTAGCAAAACCAAAAGGTTATATGCAACGAATATAGGTATTTGCAGGCGAGAAAAGTTCATTTTATATCTACCTATAAACAAGATCTGATGCATATTTATATTTTCCATTCAAGGATATTAAACGTGAAAAGGCTGCAATAAATGCGTTTAATAACAAAAGGTTTTCCGGTATAAATATGAATAATTATTTTTGAAAACAACAAAAATGTTATAACCGATTTTTTTTCATATACAATATAAATTCTAGGAGTACAATTATAAAGTCAGAAAAATTCCTGTCCGCCTTCGAAAATAATTGTCCATATATCAATGATCGATTATAGTTTATTTTGATATATAGCTCAGTCAATTATTTGTTTTCTTGGCAAAACCGTTTCCCTGGGAAAATGATTATTTATTATTTCAAAATAAATCGCATTATTACACAGAAGAAGTAAATATAGCAATATGCTATTCATGTAACCAGCTTATTTTCAATAAGTACGTAGAACGAAAACATCATATCACAGAAATACTTGAACACATCTACAGGCCTTAAGGCATGCGCCTCAGAACCCGCTCAGCACTATAAATTATTATTAATCGATATAATCGATTAACTCATTTATATACAGTATATCTATTCGAAATAAAAATGCAATATAAAAATAATCATTTATTATACCTGCTTTAAAGTTTTTCTATTAAATAATAAAAAAAAAAATAATTTTTTTTCCATTGTCCTGAAATCATGTTATGATTAGGTAGAATATTAATTATCTTTAAATATCTCAATTTCTTTTTCAAGATCGAATGGTGTGCCCCATCGAAGTGAAAAAGAATTCTGACTTAGGTTTATTCACATCAATAACTATAAACTCCTTACAGTATTCCTCAGGTATCCAACAATTTTTTGAAGCTTTCATCAGTATAAATGTTTATAATGTGGGTAGTATTTTCACGAATATCTATAGGGATTTTGTGAAATTTTTGAGCAACATAGATTTCATGACGACCTCGGGTGAAAAATGGAACGACTTTTTTCTGTATAGCTGGATGGCCTTCATTAATGTACATCTTTTGGCATTAGCACCGCTAGCACGGCTAAATTTTGGGATCTTGGATTTTATCGGGAATTAGTGTAGAGGACGTAACATTTTCATAAAGAAATTTCATTTAAACTATGTCCAACGAGAATTACATCATCATATTTAATATTGCATTTTCCTATCTTTCTTCTTAAACATATAATAAAATTTGGACATTACTAACAAGTTTAAAAATAATATTGGTCTCACCTGAATTGTTAAACCCTGCTATTACGACACGTTGGGCTATGTGGATCAGATATTTTTTCATCATCTACTGTATATTGAAAAATAACAGATTTCATTTTTATAAGGTAAATAATCCTTCTCTCATAATTGGCCATTTACATGTATACAGGAAAATAAATCTGCATCAAAGCTAATTTTGGCGAGATCTATACCTCTCTTTTTTATACAGGGTGTCTCAAAATCATTTAAAGATCTTTGACAAATTTTATATTAGATTTTTGGTCCCTTAACTCTTCTTATATAATATAGAACAAAAGTAAGATAATCACCACTATCAAAAAAAAAAAATATACAATGCAATAAAGATCTTCCTTTTAACTATTTATTATAACTCTCAAAAGCTTAAGAAAGTAAAAAATGTCAAGCCGCAAAAGGAGCTGATTATTCATAAGTGATTATAAAGAAATTGTTAAATGGATTCTTTTGAATAGATTGTTATAACAATGAAGTTATAAGTAGTTTTTAGAAAAAACTACCTTGAGACTTAACCAAATCTTTTTATGCCTCTATCTTAGTTTTGTATATATATGATAGAAGAACAGACTCTTCTATCAGCAGGTTACATAAGCTTTTGGCATTAGTGACAAACTCACCGATCAGCCTGTTATAATAATAAAAAATAAGATTTCTTTAATACTAGAAGATTATGCATTAATATACTTCAAAAATAAGAAAAATTTGAAAGAGACACTTTAGCAAAAATTATGATTAAGAACCAAAGACTAATATGAAGTACAAAAAACTATTATCAGCATCTATGTAGAATATCTATTGACTTAGACAACTTATATGAATTAGATATTTCAGATGATCTTACTGAAAAAGAAGAAAAACTGAAATACAATAGTCATAAAAAGGAAATAAATGACTAAATTGAGATGAAATATCAGAGTATAGCAATAATAAATACTGGAAATAGTAGGAATCAATATATAAGAACTAACAGACATATATTAAGATTAGATCTACTAAATACTGATAGCAATAGAGAGCCTTTAAGTAAAAGAAGAAGTTATACTTTATATAGAGAGATATAAAGTTAAGAAGAAGAAGAAAATAGTGATACCAATATTAGACAACAAGAGAGACAAACAACAAGATGCAAAATTAGAAGTCTCTTATCAAATTCAGATAAGGAATCTAAAGTATCTCAATTATATAAATTAATCGAAAAACTTGATAAAAGAATAGATAAACTGGAAAAAGGTTTACTTGAAGAATCAACTGTTCCTAAAAGAAGTACCAGTTCAATCACAGAAAAATAAGAAATACCTGTCCATTATTCTTAACATCCAAACAATTAACAAGAGCAAAATATATCAGGAGAAGCAAATTAATACTAAGGATCAACAATATGATCAAGATCTTGAAATTTTTCTCTTAATAAAAAAAAATTCATAAATAATAAAATACCATTAGAAAAAAAAAATAAGAAAATATAGATATCAAAAAGAAATAATAAAAATTTAAACACACAATATTAAAGGCATTACTAATAAAACAAACCAACATAACTTTATAGAAAAAATATTAGAGCAAGATATTGTAATTATAGATCTATGTGAAACAAAACTAATTAAAGCAAAGGTGAAATGGATTTTTCAAAATCAAGTAATATATAAGCACTTCCATAGTATCAACAAAAATACTTTTTATGGAGCAGGAGTTGACTTATTGGTAAAAAAGAATCTGGAAAAAAAAATAGTATCAGTAAAAGAGATATAAGGATACATGATAGTAGTCAACATGTTTATAAGAAGAAATAAGATATGCAACATTCAGATTTATATTTTCTCTGATAATCAATGAAGTAATAGGGTACAAGAGAAATATAAAACTTCATCAAAGAAAAGCATAGATAAAATTTTCATATAATAATTATGGGAAATTTCAATTCTACATATAACCTTGTAAAAAATAGAGCATCAACTTCTAGGGCAATATTCAAATCATATTGATATCCAGAAATTAGGCTATTTAACTCTCTAGATAAATAAGCTTTCATAGATATACAGTATAAGCAATATGAAAAAAAAAGAACAAAACTTCAACAAGATGGAATGTTACTAGCAGTAGCTAGATAAATTTTATATAGATATCACAGAACCTTACAAAATTTCCAATATTATATTTCAACAATTAAAGTATAAAGAAAATTATTGGCAGTGACTATACAATGCTTATGATAATATTATATGATAACAATATTTTCACAAGAGATATTATCAATCAATCTGCTATAAAGAATAAAAGAAAAATTAATATTAAAGAATCAATAGTAGAATAATAGTAAGCATTTAAGAAAAGTGTAAACCATAAGTTTAAAATAATACTAGAGCCTTTATTAAAAGAAGAGCCAGAAGAGAGTAAAAGAAAAACTCATACAATCATAATATGGAAAGTTTTTGAAGAACAAATATATAAGATAGTACATAATAAGCTAACAAGTAAGATAATATCTATTGTTCAAGAAAAACATTATAAGCATGGTTCAGAATATTTTATTTTTATTTTTTTATTGTAAAACTGGCTCATCCCATGCCTTCTCCAGTGCTTTAATAAGAAAAGATCATATTTAGCAACAATCGAGATGAATACTTTCCTGTACTGTCTAAGGATTTATAGATCACTAGAGAGAAATAGAACAAGAAGCTATCTATTTTTATAACTCGATCTATGTCTAACCTAATCAGGATAAGGAAAATACATGACCACCTAGTATAAATAATTTTCTTTTAAAAACAAAGTGAGGGACTAGTGAGATACACAAGCTGTACATTGCTCATCCATCCCTATATTCAGGAATCGATATTATCTAGAGTACACTAATGCACCCACCGATTAGCTTATTGCTATCCACTACGGGGCCTAACATGCCAGGACTTACACAAAAGTCCTAACACCATCCGATGTTGGAGGTCTCTTGTATTAGTCTTGCAACTAGTCAGTATTAAAAGAAAAAATTAAACCAAAGGAGAAAGGTTGAAAATATTTACAAGAAAATGAAATAGGTGAAGGAATAAAGAGATGCCTAACAACTACTCATCCACCCAACTTTGCCTCAGAAGGTACTCAATCCATAGCCTTGACACTTTTGGAGTTGATGAGAGAGAGGAGATCACAGTCCATGTGATGTTTATCTATCTGCACAACTAGCTGGTGACTTATAATAGATCTAAGGTTCTTATAAAGCTTAGGAAATGTATTTATGTCTCATGTCATATGTATCCTTGTTTACATTTC